TACAAGAAGTATTTTATTTTCAACGGACAACAGTACTCAAGTAAATGTATGGTAGAGTATTTTCAACTGATTACAGTATTTAAATATTTTTTTTCAGATTGTTTGGACATCAGGTGTTTCCATTGGATGAAGCTCAGTGTACAACATACGTCCAAGGCATTTTCTCAGCTTTGCAAAGTGACGAAGCTCGGTCATTTTATCGCACGTCCACTCCAAGCCTGGAAAAATGATGAATTCCAAAGAAGGATACAGTACATCAACTGAGTGAATTTTCAAATGTGCGAATCTTGTGTTATTGTATTTTGCTTCGACGAATGATGATGACTTCAATTGCGAGTAAAAAAAAATGGATGGGTGCTGCTGATGAGGAAAAGACTACAATTGATGAAATAGGCTTCGATTTCTTCATTTATTTCTCATTATTCCCCTCATTTGCTAGAAAATTCCTAATCCTGACGAAAATGTCAAGCATTTCCAGATGGTTCAATTGGCGAGTCAATTCCTCTGCTGTTTGGTTCAGATGGTCGGTCACTTGGAAAGACCCGGGTTCAGCAAGCAGAATGTATTCCAGGGATTCTGGCTGTCTGGAAGCCACTGCCTGTGTGTGCAAAATTATCAACAAAGGAGAAGAAGAAGGGACTTAATTCTTAGTACGCCACTTACTGCGTGAAGTGGCGTACTTCCGGAAGAATTCGTGGTCAGCAAACTGAAGCCGCCTTCCTTGTATGCCCTCAGGCTCTGCACGTTGCCTGCTGCAGCAGATCTGCAGGATGCCAAAAAATGTACTGTACAGTATTATAAAACGTGAGAAAAAAGAACTTGATTGAAATTCCAGAAGAATTACTCAAAATTTGATGAAAATGAATGCCCCTCACTCATCAAATGCTGTACTCTACTTCTTGCAATTTTGGTAAATTGAAGGGGGATATTGTTAAAGAGGATGTGGAAAAACATTTTTGAATTCAGCCACATATATGTAGAGGGTTGTCCCAGTTGGGCAAAACATCTGATGTATTCACAGGGCAGGGGTGGCTTTGATAGTGAAAATTTTGTTATCCATTATTCCAGCATAATTTTGGACTCCTATTTTTGGACTCCTACAATATTTTCGGACTCCTACAATATTATGGATTGGGTCGTATTTTTATTGAATCTCATCAAATTTGAAAATATTAGAGGTCATGTCCAACTGGGGCATCACTTCAGTAAAGAGAAGAAGAAAATGTGGACAAGCTCTCATTTACTTTTGAATTTATAGCCATGAATGTATAGGTTGATGGTAGCTTATTCATGGTTGTGATCATCTTGATTGTACTGTTATGCTTTTCAAAAAATAGGAATGAATCTCACATTTGTGATCCTACTTTTCTTGGTGGACTGGCGAACTTCCAGGAAATTTCCGCAGACTAGCAAACAATTTTGCAGTCACATTCTATAAAGTCCTTCAAACAAATTTTGATGGAGACTAAATAGTTTGGAGCCAATGAAGGAGCTATGGTGGAATATCATTCAAAAATTAGAGAGCTGCATGGGCTTGAAGAATGGCTTGTCAGAATTGAAGCTTTAAAAAATGTATTTCAGCAGATGATGAAAATTTGTCTGAAGGGTTGTTAGGAGAAAAAGCCAAGTTTCATTTGTCATCAGATAATTTCAACTGCCTTCATACAGTACTGTACAGTCTTCCCACAATTTCAAATGAAGATGACAGACTTTGCTATTGCCTTTGTCAAATTGAATATTCCAAGAAATATTCTGCAGACATGCATTAGGTATTCTGCCACATGATGGTGACATGGATTAAGATTAAAGTGTTGTATCTTTTTTTTTTTTTGGTGCTTCCCATTTGAATGCTGATCAGGAAGACAATTGCGCATTTATTTCTTCACTGAAAAACATGGAATTTCTAGAGCAGTATAATGAAATGTGTACCTGGTGATGTCGTCGCCGAGTGCCGACGCGTTGGCAAAGGTGACGTCAGCGCCGCACTGCACCAGCAGGCGGACGCAGTCGACTTGGCCAAACTCCATGGCGTCCATGAGTGGCGTCCTGTCGTGGCGATCCCGGGTGTGCACGTTGGCGCCGTGTCGGAGCAGGAACTGGACCATTTCCTGGTTGCCCTCGCCGCAGGCCACGTGCAATGCGGATCTGCTGTCGTAATCTGTTGCTGAAGCGTCTGCACCCTACATATATATATATACATGTCATGCACAGTAGAGTGAAATTGTGTTACAAGACTTACAACAAACTTGTATATAGGGAACCTTCAGAAGGTTTCTTATGCAACAAAAATTTTGTGGTGATGGGATTTTCGAAATTATATCAACTGAGAAGATTGTTTCGAATGAAACCTGCATATATTCAAGATCTGTCTTTTTGGCCTCGTAAAATGTATTTCCCTCTTAGAAAAACTGATCTTGAAAATATGTAAATGTCAAAGACAAACATTTACTCTGCATGCTGAATAACATGTAAGCACTTGCACTCTTTGTGAACTCTAGCTTTTGCTGAACAGTTTCTTTGCAGATTTGTGAGGGTTAATGTTCCAAAGAAACTTAAAGTTGTAAAGCATCAGTTGGATTTCTCAAGCATATAAGCTGCAAACAAGTCCTCCACCCCTTTTCATATGTTTTTCTAGGTTCATTTTTTCACCTATGCCCTCTCTTCCTACTTCAGAAAATATTTGAAAGAGATGCAATGTTTTTATGAACCTTCAAAAATTCATGTTTTTGATTCTACATTACATTCATGTCCCATGAACCAGTCACAGTCACATTTGAATAGGAAATTTGAGACTGTGCCTACCATTATTGAGGATTTTTCTTTAAAAAAATCACATGATATTCCTTGAAGAATGTTTGTTACACTGGAATTCCAGTTTGTTGCAACCCAATTGCTTTAACATGTAGTCTAAGGGCTTTCTGTCAGGACTTGAGAAAAGAGCCTTTTTTATAGAAAAATTATTTGTAATGGTATTTGTACTAATGAGATTTTTCTGTTCACTGTAATGTGGCATCTGATTGCAAGAAATCTTGTTATGATTAATACATACTTGAGATAAAAATGCATTTCAGGTCTTATCCCAGCAGCCAGCACAATGTTGAATGAATTGTTTTCTTTGCAACAAAGCTCTTTAACTGGTTCCAAAGGCTTTGTTGTTACAAAATTTCAATGTAGGCATGAACATTAGAAGAACTTATAAATGAAGCAAAATACATGTGTAATACAAGCATGTTGCATGATGAAGATGAAGTAGAATTTGGTCATCGTACCATAAGTACTGGAATACAAAGCACACTCTTTTTCCAAATATGGAAGCAGAAAAATAGGGTGCATGGGTCACAAGATAATGCATTTTGAATAAAGTCCCTTAGCACAAGTATACAAATGTATTGTAGCAAAAACAGTGAATAATCATGGGAAATAATGATTGATGCAGTAAGTATTTCAGGAATACCTGTAAATCAGTTGGAGATGCAACAGGAAGTAGAAATTATTCATCTAATTAAAGAGGCTTCCATATATTGCAAGCACATTTTAACTCCTCCAGCAAACAGTAAAAGCACAAGAGACAAAAACATCAATGAGGAAAATAGGATCACCCAATTATACTTCACATATCTTGATTTTCAGCAGCAACAACAACAAAAACTTGAGCAAGAGTCTTTTAAAGCAATTGGTTTTTTTAAAACAAATTTCTCACAAAATATGTACATGCAGGCCCAGAGTATCACTGATTCTAATTTTGTATAATCCTCCCAACCTGCGAACATTTGTGTTTCTCAACTTCAAAGCATCCCTGAATCAATACAGTATTTGCATAGCTGGTACTCCCTCCATCTATTGAAATGTAATTAACATGTTTGACCTTCAGTGCAAAGGAAAGAAATGAACCTGTTTCATTATCTGTTCTGTATTCATATGATACACACGCTTTTGAGCAGTTCGTCCACCCTGTTGACATCGCCTGCCTTGGTGGCCATGCACAACAAACAGGGAAACAAAAACTCCTTCAGCTCTTCAATTTCTTTGGATGACGAGAACTTTAAGGCCTTGCTCAGGGCATTGATGAGATCCATGTCATTCTTGCTGTTTGAGTCCATCCTCTCCAACACCGTCAGCTCTCCTCTCAAGTTCTCTGTCAATTTCTGAATCATTTAAAAAAAGACATGATGCGAACACTTTTGGTTGAATCTCGAGCTGATTTCAAGAAATCTTGAGGGAAATTAATATAAATGAAATGTTCACACATCCAGACTGGAACAAGGTAATTTCGCTTGGATTACAGTGGACCCTTGACCAATGGACACCATGTCATGAAGACAATTTGACTTAGGGACACTCACAGTCAGAACAGAAAAAAGCTATCCGGAACATCATGAAAATTTTTAAATATTTGGACACTTCTTCAAGAGTTTTAAAATTTTTTTTGAAAAAATCCAAATATTTATATTGCTTGAACAATAAACATTATAAATAAAACCATCTTTATACCTCTTTATGAGAATTCTGTTATGCAATGTCAGTTGGGAAACAAGGGAGGAAATGAGGGACACCTGACCAGTGGCAACACTCAATTGCACATACTGAAGTCTGTTATGTGAATTGTGTCTGTTGATCAAAAGGATAAACCACCTCCAGAGGCAGTCTGTTCTTCCAAAAATATGTTGTGTGGTGGTCTATTGTGCTTGGGTTGACTATATTTATCTGACACAGAAGAGGCAATTATACTGAGCACCAATTAGAGCATAAGGCACTCAACCTGTTCTCAAATAATTTTGAATTGATTAAACAATTTGGAAAGAACCTTTGAGGAGAAATGGTATTATTAATGTACAGTAAATGGCTATACAGTGGTACCTTGAATACTAAACAACCCCCCCCCCTGCCACAGTAGAAACATTCTTTTGGAAAAAAAATTTTTGGAGGGCAACCTTGCAGAACAATTTTAATTTTACAAACAACAATAAATGTTCTCCCCTGTTTGTAGTAAAAATTTTGTATTACCAATAAAGTTGTGTTTTGTTTGTAGTCCAATAAACATTTTTGTGTTCAGAAACAATTGTCTCAGAATTAAGACATACATTTTTGTGACATTTGTCACATGTGACAATTGTTATTTGACCATTGTCCCATGGGAAAATTTCTGCGTTCTGAGACAATTGTCTCAGAGAGTCAGAACACAGAAATTTTCAAAATTGTGTGACAATGATGGTCAAATGGTCAATTGTCACATGAGGAAATTTCTGTTCTCTGAAATTTAAGAATTTTCCATACAAGTCTATGGGAAATCATGACTTCCATTACAAAGGTATTGCACTGCAAATGTAGCTCTGGAAAAAAATTAAGTTTTTAGTGCAAGGTACCACTGTAAAGTATATGAACCTTCCTTGTATCCATTATACTTCTTGTGAGTTCCATCAGCATGACTTTCAGAATGAAAAAAAATTTAAGATCATTTTCATTTGCTGTTCAGCACCTGTAGTTTCATTTCCTGGTTCCACTCATTCTTGGACAGGACATAGCTAAGTTTGGACAGCGCTGCTTCTGGTGTCATGTCTGCTCCAGGGATCACACCCGCGTCCAGCAGCACCTGCACCATGTATATTAAGGAATAATGAGCAAAAAATATTCAATAAGCAAAATGCAGTTTGAAGCTCACAATCAAAATGTCACCAAGTTTACTCACATCATCTGAATGCTAACAGTACACAAGTGAAAATACTGTACAGTGTTTGGTTCTGGAAAAAATAGCACTTTTTGAGTACCCATGTGCTCCCAATTGAGCAGAAGCATCCCAAATTTAATAAAGATGCTTTGAATTGCTTTCTCATGAGTTGACAGAATGCTGAAATTGATGGACATGGTTTATGAGCCAAATAATAAGTCTCAGCATTTACTTTTAAATTAAGTACATTTTCTCTTGCCTGTTTCAATGAAACACTATCCAAAAGGACTCCAACACATTTGAATTATGCATGGAGGTCTGAAAAGAAATACGTTGGAATTAAGAGGGGTTTTCAATGCATACTGTTTTTGAAGGAATGCAGACAGGCCTGTTGTCTTAACCAGCTTAAGTTTCGAGCAGGGTTGTTGATCAGACAATTGCTGCTGATAAAAACTGTTGACTGTTGGTATCGAAGATTTGACT